CGGTCGGATATCGGATAAATCCGTATCCGTTTCTAATTTTTAAAATCAAATTAAACAATACTTTAATTTTAAATTAGATTAAAGTCAAACTATTATTAAATCAACTGTATGTTGGTATGAGATTATTATTTTCTTTGTTTTCATGATTTATAATATTTTACGATAACTTCATATGATAAAACGATATACACAGCACACATATACACATATTTCTATATGTCTGTATTTATTTTTGTGTGTACACATTTATTTTGTATATAAAAATGTCTTATATTTTGAAATATCAATAGAGAAACAAATTATAAACATAAAAAATTAGGAAAAACTATATATAACGGATCGGATATTCGGATAAACGGTTATTTAAACGGATGCATATTCGGATCGGATTTTAAACGGATCGGATATACAATTACCAGATCCGTATCCGTTTAGTAATCGGATATCCTTAATCGGATACGGATAATATCCGTTTAAAACAGATGCGGATATTTCCTCTTTAAACGGATACGGATGCGGACGGTAATCGGATTTTCGGCTATCCGTTTACAGCCCTAGAGTTATGCGACTTAAATGTTCTATGAGTATAATATAACTAGACTTTTATGTGTCACAGTGGACGGGAGCTATTCATGTCAGACTCGAGCTACTTCGTGGATGATATTGGAGCATACGATAAGTATGACAGGGAAGAAGAGTCAAATGTCACTGAGCGAAAGGTGATTTATGTTACTGTTGCCCAATCTCTTTGTACTTTTAGCATTTTTTCCCACTAATTACTCCATCCCTAAATAAACTTCACATTTCAATTTATGATGTTTGGCTAGAATTATTTTCAATTCAAATTACTTAAATATTGGCGTAAAATTTAATAAAATAATTCATATTCCATATATCTAACAACTACATGAAAAGATCTACAGGGTATAAACCAATAGGTGACTTCACTAATTTTTTTTTCAATTAATTAAAGCAAATAAGTATAGAAATAAGTATAGAATGTATAGTTTGACCATGTAAGTATTAAAATTGAAGTTTATTTAGGGACACAGCAAGTGGGAGTAAATAACATAATACTATGTATCTAAAAGGAGGACAAAATCTTCATTTTGGTTTTGTTTATCATCTTCATCTAATTACTAACTACATTTTGCTACTTTTTTCATCAATAACCGATTCATCCGGTTCATTATATTAAGTTAGTTTTTGGTAGATAACTACTCCACAGTTGATATGATCATATGACCAATGCAGACACCAAATCGACTGTTATCTTTTTGATTCATAATTTCGGAAGTCTTTGCACAAAAAAAAGTTTTGAGTTTTGCTTTGATGAGAAAAGTATTTTATTATTTGAGTAGATGTAAGTGGTTAATGGTTGTATTTTATTTTTGGCATTTAGAAACCAATAGTGCTGAAGTGTATAACTTATGTTAGTGAGTACAAAAGCGTTGAAGTTTCTTAAAACAGCAACTAGCCAAAATTTAAGCGATAGCTGCTTGCTTCTTGCTTGTGGTGTTTAGGTAGCACCAAAGTGTATTATAATGGAATGCAAATATCACTTGCCGAAATTCAATTTCTTGCAAACTCTCTCTTTTAACTGCTGGAGTAGAGGCTACTGAGTAGTGAGTAGGCATAAGTTCAATTTTCTTTTCTCACTATTAAGCGTAGCTTAATGAAATCATACTCTGTGTGTGCTTTGTAAACCTATCAGGTTGACAATGGTAGCTCAAAGGATGAGGCAAGCTGCTCAACCTCAGCACCAAGCACATCCAATGCCGAAGATGTTCTTGATGGGGACGACGATGACGATGATGATTTGGATGATGACGAGTTGAATGAGTTGGAGGCGAGTCTTGCAAAAACAACATTACAGATCAACGAACCTGGTGGTCATGCATGAGGCAAGATACTGAATTGGTGATATCAGTGTTGCTTTTTTGAGATTATTCTCATTGTTCTGATCGATCTGGAGGACTATGATTTTTGGCACTCCACATTTCATTTCTTTATCACGGAGTATCTTCCCAATCTTTTTTTTTGCATTCCAAAATGACACTAATGGATTTAGGCATGAATGGGAATTTCAGAATATGGTCCTCGGGTCATATCACACTGGAAGCCAATCTTTGGATTTGCATCTGTGCATAACCTTTTAGATTTGCATCTGTGTGAAAAACTTGATAGTTTTGTGCTTTTGACAATGTCTTCGCGTCGAAGTAAATAACAGACTTTTTTCCCCTTCTTACTTTCATGCTTCTTAGATTCTATTTAATTTTTGGTAGGTTATGCAACATTGCTTTCACTTATGGTCTTAAGAGCACACATTTAAATAGGATCCAAACACACCACATTATGGAAAAATTTCAATTGGGAAATGAGAATTTTGATCACAACCTCAGGGTGTGGTTTTCTTGTGTCTTTTTAGCCCTAAATGGCATTGATGGGATACACTCCTTTGTTCCTCAAATAATCTCCCAGTTTGACTTGGCTATAATATCTAAAAAATGTTGGTAAATGAGCAATTGAAGTTTGTTTAGATGCAAAAAGAATGATGTGGGCCACATACTCATTTGTATTCTTATTGATAATAAATATGAAAAGTGGGAAGTGTACTCTCTCCGTAATGATCATTATGACTTTTTTGATTCAATGTATCTAAAAAGTCACAATACTCAGTAACAAAAATAAAATGAGGGAGCACAATGCTTCACTACACTAAACTCACAATGAGTGTGATTTCATCGTAACAAATACAATCGTAATTCACGTACTACAAAAATCTTAAAGCTTAAATTTATTTCTCCGCACGGGGCTTCCGGAATCGCACGGCGGCCTCGGGCTATTGGTGGCTATGAACTTTGTGTTCCCTCTCCATTCTCTTCTTCTGCAAAGGTTTTGGATGCTTGACAGTACTAGGGACAAGTTTGCACATAAACTTGAAGAGTTGCTTAAAAACCAGAACCTTAATCTGCCCTCTCTTAGGTGGGAGATTCACTTTCTCCATCTTCTTTGGGTTTGGGTTTGGGTTTGGGTTTGGGTTGGACAAATTTCTTTTGTCTCACAAGAAGGTGTGGGTCTTATATAGTAGTGTAGTTGTGAGGGAAATGGACACTCGTAAATGGGGAAAAAGTATTTTCCGAGGTTTACTTGGTCAATTTGGATTCTAGTAATTCTACACGGTACACGCGGAAGAAGTGTGCTAAAACACTCCCACGCTCTCACCCATACCCAAAAAAGAACTCTCTTCTTTGGGAAAATTTGCACTTTTATTTCTGAAATTCTTTGATTTTACATAAATATATTCCGAGATTCATGATATAATATCGACGCTTCTAAAGTTTTTATATATCTACATCAATATTTCAACAATAACATATGTTTACATTGGTGTCTCAGTACTTGGAGCCAAAGATATAAACACATATCAAATCTGAGAGCACTCAAGTAAAGTTATGAAAATGCTAGGAGTATGGGTGTTATTTATTGAGTCTTGGAGTATTTATGAAAAAAAATGGTGTAATTCCAAAAGTATTGCTGTGATTTTTTTCCTTGATCTTCTGGCCTTCACGTAGTTTAATTTAAAGTCTACTGTTAGTGCTCAAGATTTGTTAAGAAAAGAGAAGTTTTGTGAGACATTCATTATTACTTCTTCCGTTCTACTTTAAGTTGCAAATTTACTATTCTAATGGTTAAATTTAACCACGCTTTAAATCTACTTTGCTGCCTATTTTGTAAAATAATAGTCATATACTCTTGTTACTTATTATTTTGTAGATTTTTTTAATATAACTTTTAAATATTTATTTTTTTCAAAAAAAAAATTCCACGTCAATTTTTATACAAATTAAATTGAAAACAATTCCATTCAAGTCTCGTAAATAAATAGAGGTGATTTAAATTGGGATGAAGGGAGTAAAAGAGAAAAATAAAATGGGAAACATTTTTTATACGTCCAACAAGAAATGTGTAAACTTTTTTGGACGGAGTATTATATACGTGCGCAAATAGTTGTGCTTGTGGATTGAGATGTGGCACCATCTCTCTTCAAAAACTTGTTTATAAAATTCTCATCCTTTAACTTTTTTGGAGTGCGACCTGTTAGATATGCTCATAATTTTTTGGAGAGAAAGGTAGAGATCGACAAAGGACGACACAACCTTGATTTAAGACGATTGTCCATCGATGATAAAGACCGGTGGTGGCGCATGGTCGTAAAAGAAGGGAGGCTAAGTTTTTTAGAAGATCGATCTCAATTCGCATATCATGACACAATTTGCACTATGTTTGGTTCAAGGAATGTGATGAAAAAGAAAAGAAAATATAGTAGAAAATAGTTTTTCTTATTTGGTTAAGGAAAAATTATCATATATAGTCCCACTTTTTCACATTTTTTTAAAAATAATCTCACTTTTCTACTATCACCGAAAATAATCTCACAGTTTCGCATTTGTGCGAGTTTTCGGTTGCCTTTAAAAAACTAATAGCCACTTAACGAATTTTTTTTGGAAAATATTTGGTTTTCGCAAATAAATGAAATGTGTGATAATTTGAGGTGAATTTAATTTTTCTTTTTTTAATTTTAAATTTAAAATTAAGCAACCCAAAACTCGCAAAACTCGCACACATGCAAAAAAGTGAGATTATTTCTGGTGACAGTGAAAAGTAGGATTATTTTTTAAAAAGCTCGAAAATGTGAGATATTGAGATACCCTTTGGTTAAAGAGGAAAAGAAAGAAAAAATGGAAGGGAAAGAACACGAGAAGCCAAAATGTACTAAGATGATGAAAAATCAAAGTCCTCGCATTTTAGCAAGGAAAAATGAGGAAATCAATTTCTTTTATTTCAAAATTTTTTGAACCAAATATAGTGCTAATAATAATTTGGTCTTATTGAACACTGAGTAATACATCAAAATATTTAGAGAATATATGGAGAATTCTAACCAAGGTAGAATAATGAATTATGGTAACAATAAAATAATGAAAGTAAGTAATTATACCCCGAGTAATAATTTATTTCATATTATCCCTATTATTTCTAATAATAATCATTTTTTTTCCAGAGTAGAAAGAAAAACATTTTTTGGGAAGTTCAAAAAAGAAAAAACATAAATAGAAAAAATAAATAAAAAAGAAAAAATTAAAATGGAAAAGAGAAAAAGATATGCAAAATAATTTTTTAGAATTTTTTTTAGCTATTCAATGTGCCGATAAGATTTTTTTTTTCAGAATGCCCAAAAAGTCTTTGTTTTTTGGATGTCCAAAAAAGGTTATTTCTTTTAATTTTTAAAATAAAAAGATGACTTTTTAATTTTTTTTAAAATTTTGTTGGCCGTCTGTCTAAAAAAGGGCCTTGCTCCGTATTTTTTGATCCAACAGATTCAAAAAATAAGATACAAATTTTTTTTTTCTATTCTTCATTCCCTTTTTTGAACTTCCAAAAAACAAGTTTTCTTCTTATTTTAGAAAGCAAATATATATATATATATATATATATATATATCTATNAATTGGAGTTTAAAGTTTGTCCAGTTTCACTCGAAATAGTCAAACTGGACAAATACACTGGGACGGAGGTATATATATATATATATATATATATATATATATATATATATATATATATATATATATATATATATATATATATATATATATATATATATATATATATATATATATATATATATATATATATATATATATATATATATATATATATATATATACCTCCGTCCCAGTGTATTTGTCCAGTTTGACTATTTCGAGTGAAACTGGACAAACTTTAAACTCCAATTACTCTTAATTTATATTGCATATTAGCATAATGAAATACAATTTTGAAAATTCTCAATACGATAAATCCAATAAAGTCATTTTATGTTAAAATACATTACGGTTTTTATTTAATTAATGCTCAAAGTTTGTCCGGTTTGACTCAAAAAAGTCAAACTGGACAAATATACTGGGACGGAGGGAGTATTAATTTTAGATAAATGAAGTACTCCATATATATTACCAGTACAATTTTTTCATTTCATTTATTTTTTATTACAAACACAAACAATTGAAGTATTAAAACATTATAAAAAACAATTTTAAAATAAAAATTTAAAACCCTCTATGAATTAAGGAAACAGAGAGAAGGAAAAAAAAGAAACAAAAACAAAAAAACAAAAACGAACGGAAAATAGGAAATGAGCTTCGGTGCCTCGATTTAGAAAATAGAAATCGATGCTCCTTCACCAAAAAATGAACGAAAGTAATCAAGTATGCAATGTTTGGAAACTACATGGATTATATATATAAGTTTTGAAAGGGAGGGGCATTGGTGTCATTTCTCAAACCACAAAAAACACCAGAACTATTCAACCAAAAAACATTCTCCCTCTATTTAGTATATTCATCTAGTTTGATTGTTTTCGAGTATAACTGGACGAAGTTTAATCATCAATTATTATCAGTTTGTACTACATATCAACACAATGAAATAAAATTGTGAATGCTCTCAACAACAACCTAATTGAATTATACAAAAGCAGGCTCTGGGGAGGGTGTATGCACACAGACCTTACTCCTACTCGAAAATAGATAGACTATTTTTAAAGAGACTCCCAGCTCAACGTCGAAATTAATGTTGCATGGATTGACTAGCTGCGCTACTTCATTAATTAAAATAGTGCAAAAAATAGTGAATTTTTGGCTCCATCGGATATGATGCAAATCGTGAATTTTTTCAACAAGTTAAATTTAATTAAATCAATTATATACCAATATACATTATGTTTTTTATTTAATTGAGGTTCATCGTCCGTCCAGTTTCATTCGAAAAAAATCAACTGAACAAATACACTCGTGTTCTTGTCCCTGGTTATTATTTGCGACCTGTATCTGTGAATCCAAATTAGATTTCGTACCTGGTCAAAGGGGGCACAGTCCAGCACAGCAGAGAGAATTCAAATGCAAATTGAAGAGCTACTGAAGTGTCATGACTGTCATCATCATCACTTTCTTAATAGACTACAAAGGTATATAACAAGAAACTTTCTTAATGGACCACAAAACTATATAACAAGAATCCCTTGTTACAGATATTCACAGATATATACGTACGAACACCAGCATTGTTACGTGTCTATGAATATTTGTGAAAAGAATTATGTCAAAATTGGGATTAAGGTTAGGGTACCCCAAGCTTAATTTATTAGGAGTATAACAAAGTGCAGTGTGAAAGCAAGAAAAAGAGAGGTCTAATGGCTGGATAAAGACTTGAAGACCAGGTGTCCATATCTAACATATATCTAATTGATGTTTCCCTTGATTTGTACATAAGCTCTTCTTGGAGCAAACAAGAAGGGTCAACTTTGTCTCCTTGTCTTCAGATTAAGACAAAAAACAAAAGCTCAATTCTGTTTTCTTCCCTTCTGGCATTTAGCCTTATCAGCAAGTGATTGAGGCTAATCATGGAACCAACTAAGACAAAAGAACAGATTAGTGGTTTGAAGTCCAAAAAATGCTTTTTTTTTTTTTTAACTCTAACATCCCCTCAAATGCACAGGAGTTTATTTGTTCGGGTCTTGCACTTGAACATTATTCATTTTGGAAAGTGAATGTCATATGGATTTGAACTCGTTGTCAACAGATTCTGAGATCATGTTAAGAAAGTAACACACTCAGAAGCTCAGTACACTAAGAAAGGTAAAGAAAGTAAGACACGTCCACTTGCAGAATACGAATGACCCCAAACAAACAAGAAGAATATGACTTGCTGCTAAGAAAAGAGCATTGAGATTTAGGCATGAATGGGAATTTTAGATTATGGCCCTCGGGTCATATCACAATAGAAGCCAATCTTTGGATTTGCATCTGTGTGAAAAACTTGATAGTTTTGTGCTTTTGACAATGTCTTCGCGTCGAAGTAAATAACAGACTTTTTTTTCCTCTTCTTACTTTCATGCTTCTTAGATTCTATTAATTATTTGGTAGGTTATGCAACAATGCTTTCACTTATGGTCTTAAGTGCACACATCACAATAGGATCCAAACACAACACATTATGGAAAAATTTCAATTGGGAAATGAGAATTTTGATCACAACCCCAGGGTGTGGTTTTCTTGTGTCTTTTTAGCCCTAAATGGCATTGATGGTATACACTCCTTTGTTCCTCAAATAATCTCCCAGTTTGACTTGGCTATAATATCTAAAAAAATGTTGGTAAATGAGCAATTGAAGTTTGTTTAGATGCAAAAAGAATGATGTGGGCCACATACTCATTTGTGGAGTCAAAATTTGACTCCAAAATCAAAATCAACTTGTGGGATGCAATTGAAGGGGGTGGGGAGGTGTGTTCGGGTCGGGGCCGGGTAGGGGATTTGCCGGGGGATTTGGGGGGTAAGAACCGTAAATTTTACGAACGGGGCACCGCAGCGCCCCCGGGTCATCCCATGACATTGAAGTCCAATGTCATTTGAACCTTCATCAATATATTTAGAGAATATATAGAGAATTATAACCAAGGTAGAATAATGAATTATGGTAATAATTGAATAATAAAAGTAAATAATAATACCCTGAGTAATGTTTTATTTCATATTATCCCTATTATTTCTATAAATATTCGTTTTTTTCTTTTCCGAGTAGAGAGAAAAACCTTTTTTGGGAAGTTCAAAAAAGAAAAACATAAATAAAAAAAGAAATAAAAAAGAAAATGGAAAAAAGAAAAAAATATGAAAAACAAATTTATAGAAATTTTTTTTAGCTATTGAATGTGCTGATAAGATTTTTTCGGAATGCCCGAAAAAAGTCCTTGTTTTTTTGGATGTCCAAAAAAGGTTATTCCTTTTATTTTTTAAAATAAAAAGATGACTTTAATTTTTTTAAATTTTGTTGGCCGTCTGTCCAAAAAAAAGGTTATTCATTTTCTTCTTTTTTTTCATTTCCTGTCTTCTATTCGTCATTCCCTTTTTTGAACTTCCCAAAAACAAGTTTTCTTCTTATTTTGGAAAGCAAAAAAAAAAATGAGATAAATGAAGTACTTCATATATATTAAATTTTTTTATTTCATTTATTTTTTTATTACAAACACAAACAATTATGAAGTCTTAAAACATTATAAAAATCAATTTTAGAAAATAAATTTAAAACCCTTTATGAATAAAGGAAACGAAGAGAAGGAAAAATGGGAAACAAAAAAAGAAAAAAAAACCAAAAACGAACGGAAAATGGGAAATGAGCTTCGATGCCTCATGTGGTTTTGAAAATAGAAATCGATACGATGCTCCTTCTTCACCGAAAAAATGAACAAAAAATAATCAAGTATGCAATGTTTTGAAACTACATGGGTTATATATATAAGTTTTGAAAGAGAGTGGTATTGATGTCATTTCTCAAACCACAAATAACACCAGAACTAATTCAACCAAAGAACATACTCCCTCTGTCCAGTATATTCATCTAATTTGACTATTTTCGAGGCCAATAGGACGAACTTTAATCATCAATTTCTCTCAATTTGTATTACATATCAATACAATGAAATAAAATTGCAAATGTTCTAAACAAGTTAAATCTAATTAAATCAATTTTATACCAATATACATTACGGTTTTTACTTACTTGAGGTTCAACATTCGTCCAGTTTCATTTGGAAAAAAATCAAACTGAACAAATACATTGTGTTCTTGTCCCGTTATTATTTGCGACCTGTATCTGCGAATCCAAATTAGATTCCGTACCGGGTCAAAGGGGGCACAGTCCAGCACAGCAGAGAGAATTCAAATGCAAATTGAAGAGCTACTGAAGTGTCATGACTGTCATCATCATCACTTTCTTAATAGACTACAAAGGTATATAACAAGAAACTTTCTTAATGGACCACAAAACTATATAACAAGAATCTCTTGTTACAGACATTCACAGATATTTACATACGAACACCAGCATTGTTACATGTCTATGAATATTTGTGAAAAGAATTATGTCAAAATTGGGATCAAGGTTAGGGTACCCCAGGCTTACTTTATTAGGAGTATAACAAAGTGCAGTGTGAAAGCAAGAAAAAGAGAAGTCTAATGGCTGGATAAAGACTTGAAGACCAGGTGTCCATATCTAACATATATCTAAATAATCTAATTGATGTTTCCCTTGATTTGTACATAAGCTCTTCTTGGAGCAAACAAGATGGGTCAACTTTGTCTCCTTGTCTTCATATTAAGACAAAAAACAAAAGCTCAAGTCTGTTTTCTTCCCTTCTGGCATTAGCCTTATCAGCAAGTGATTGAGGCTAATCAAGGAACCAACTAAGACAAAAGAACAGACTAGTCTTGAAGTCCAAAAAATGTTTTTTAAAAAAAACTCTAACATCCACTCAAATGCACAGAAGTTTATTTGTTCGGGTCTTGCACTTGAACATTATTCATTTTGGAAAGTGAATGTCATATGGATTTGAAGTCGTTGTCAATGGATTCTAATATCATGTTATGAAACTAACACACTCAGAAGTTCAATACACTAAGGAAGGTAAAGACAGTAAGGCTCATCCACTAGTAGAATGCAAACGACCCAAACAAACAAGAAGAGTATGACTTGCTGCTAAGAAAAGATCACCGAGATTTGAGAAAATAAAGCAAATTAATTGAAGGCAAATTGTGATTGTTCTGTTTTGTACAAATCTATATCATACAAATATACAATACCCATTCACCCAAATGATGATGAGGGATTCACAACATTGAGTTCAACCAGACATCATTTCATTTCAGTGGGAAAACGACGGTATAAACCAGAAGAAACACTAGTATGAGAATTGTCACTGCAATAGTGAACTGTGGACTGGTCCATAGATTAAGGTTCAACCTCTCTGATCTCTTTATGGGATCAACTTCTTCAGATGGCGGGTAGTTAGAACGGGTAGGATTCCAGGTCACATACCTGTCTGGTGAAAACTGTGAGAAGAACGTCTTCTTCCCATTCTTCTTGAAGCTAGACCAGGCCTTGTCCCAATCTATTGACAACTTATCATCATCATCATCTGCACATACAAGAGATAGTTTGAGCTAAATACCACTTGTGATTATAATCCTAGTTGAACTAATTATGCTTAAGTAGACATAAAGTAATGACTTGCTCTTGTTTTTCCATCATTAGGAGTAATTTTAAGGAACTAGGTACAAACAGTCTCTGTACTTCCAAGTAGTGGTATGATGATTATGGTATGCAGATGCACACCGTCACACCCTATTGTCATTCTACTAGGTTTGCTGTTATTGTTGAGTAACTATGAACTTATTGTCTTGCTCAAAAGCACTTATTTTCCCGCCCTAGAAAAGTCAATATACATTCCAGATTTTAGGTGAGTTTGCTTTGCATTTCTAAGGTGATTTTAAGAATCACAATCGCCTTTTCAGGTTATTTTGATTGTATTTTGGCCAAACCAAGAAGCTAGCTCCTTCAAGTATTAACGTATACACATTTCTTTTCCGGCTGTTTTGAAATAAAATTTAAACTTGTTCCATTTAATTTTCTTTTTTCGTGTGTCTCGAATTAAAATTTACACTTCTTTCATTTCTATTTCTTCTAATAAAAGTATAACCGCACACTTTTCAATATTCAAAACTTTCATTATACCCCATGAAGTCAAAGTGTAAACTTTATTAGTTTATTGTGAGGCGATGTAAGTACGTGATTCTAGTTTCGAAAATGAGATTTTGGAAATCATCCTACCCCTTGATTAGCAACTTATTCTAGTGATTTTCATATTTACATAACTCGAACACCAGAATCAACTCGTTTAGAAAATGCAAAACCAAATCTACCCTTAACCTCTAGAATGTCAAAAACCACACATTTACACAGCCATCAATACTTCTTTCATAGCCATTCCAGCTTCATAAATAGATGCTTCTGAGCAAAACTTCTAACATAAGGCATTAGATCATATATGCAACCCAGTCGGCAGCAGCTAAGTGATCCTTTACATTGCATTTGGTTACTTACTTTCAATGGAGTAAATTGGATTTCCTAAGTAGGACAGTAGGAAAGAAACCAAGGTTTTACTACTAGCAAGGGAAATGGGTATGTTTTCCCTAAAAACAAAGGTCATTACCAGGGGTAATCAAGTTTCGGACTCCACAGAAAGTTAGATAATTTATATGGGGCAGTGCGAGTGCTTTAAAGAAAGAACGACACGTATATGGAGTTTTTGAAGGTAATTGGAAAAGAAAATGGAAATAGCTATAGAGGATACTTGGAATTAAATATCTTTTATAATGGTTGAAGCTCCCATTATTTCTTCATTCATGTAATACAACTAATCAAATTTTAGATTCCTTGTTCATTTATCAAGGTAAAGATAAAGCAAACAACAACAAAAACAACACTATATAATTCCAATTCCATTGAGGTGTTGGGTAAAGATGTACAATGTCTTACCCCTGTAAAAGCATAGAGACTATTTCTACTAGACCCTAGATGCATTGCTACATTTACCGCCCAAAACTTTACAGAGAGTAAAAAGGCAATGGAAATTTAATGTCCCATTTCGATTTAGTCCATTATGTGTCCGAAACTAAAACATTGTCAAGGAAAATAACTTTTCTTAGCAATTTTCCTCTTTCCCTAACATTTTTTAGGATCCTAATACATCTTCCAGTTTCCCATCAAAGGCCACGTAACAGCAGATCCATTAAAAAAGGGCCAAAAATCACAAACTAAACTCCCTTCTGCTCTATGCACATCACTAAAAAGTCTAAATCTTTCCAACAGAACAGCTCAAATTATGCTAATTGTGTCTCCTAAACCAGACAACACACTTCATATTGAAAAAAATCAAATAAAAGAAAAAAATAAATCAAACAGTAAACTGACGAACTGAAATTATAACTAGAGAAATTACACGCACTGGTATTATCTCCGTTCCGCTGGGAAGGCCGTTGGGAGTATCTTCTGGAACAGAGAGGCTTAAGGGCGGTTTGGTGTCTGCGAATTATAGGGTTGGACCAGAGAGAAGAAGATGCTGAAGAAATGACAGAACACTGAAGCCGTATATCCATTTGGGCTTGTGATCTTCTTCTTCTTCTTCGCTTCCCTTCCGTCGCGGGATTTGGTTACCAATATTCTTCCTCCATTTCTGGTTCTAAGGGGGGAACCACATTTCTCTCCCTTTAACTATGAGTGGGTGAAAATATCAGGAATCCAACCAAACCATTTTTTAAAAAATGGTTTCTCAAAAAATAAATAGCGAAAATACAGAATCAAATTGTTATCACTAAAATGTTAAACTAATGAATTAATTATATATTTTTATTTATTATTTTTCACTTCGCAGTAAATTTAAGTTATATTCCATATTTATTTGATATGACTTTAAGATACTTAAACTTATACGGAGTAATTTTATACGAGTAGTACACTATTGCCCTGGAATACAACTAAAGTTATACGGAGTAATTTTATTTGTTAAATACTCAAAGTACAATGATGTTTTATTAATAATGGTATGTAAACAGTTCAGTAAAAATGCATAAAAAAATGACGCACCAAATTTTTAATTTACATTGTTTGTAACAAAAATAATGGCACACAAAATTTTAGAAAAGAAAAAATTAAAATTGGAACAAAAATGAATCGAGAACCAAAACCAGAAGCGTAACACTCTACTTGGTTCCGGTTAAAGATTCTACCATCCCGGGAATCGGAACCGGACCAACACCGTGCACATGCCCAAAAAACAATATTTTTCCAAAAATACTACTTCCCCCATCCCTAAAGAATGAACTCCCGTTCCATAAAGACTTTCACGTTCACTATTTCAAAATCAATTTATAATTTCTTTCTTTGCTTATTTACATTACTCATTCACTAGAATAATACATACTCCGTATAATATTGTCACTTATTTTATTAAACTTTTGATATGAGAATAAAAGAACATTAGATTTGAGAAAACTAAATTCGTTCCAATGCGATGCACGAGCAGAAAATTAGCTATAATTGTTTACAATGCCATACAACTTAATACGGAGTATGATTTAAAGTTTGGAGCCAAACACTCTAGTTAACAATATCCAACAATGTCATATTTAAAATTTGGTTATTTATAATTTATACTCCCTTCATCTCGTTAAAATTGCAAAGAGAAATTTACCTAAATAGGACTAAAACATAATGACTTTCCCAATATATGATCATATGTTTTATTTTCCAATGTAGCACCTTTGGTCATTATCAAGTAGTCATTATTCAACTAGATGTCCATCATTACTGGACATTATTCCTTCCACTAAGTCATTATTAAATCCTATTTAGGGAATAAAAAAGTTTAAATCCTATATTAAGAAAGTCATTATGTTTTAGTCCTATTTAGTACAAATTTCACAATTGCAAAACCATAACCATAATGACAATCTTCAGATACAGAGCAACCATTTGGAGCATTTGCCCAGTAGTCTGCTCTCGAGAGGTTCTCCAGCGTCTTGTTTGAGAGAGACTGAAAGAGTAGCATAAATAAGAGACATTTTAAAACAGAGGAATGTTAAAGTTACACCACTTCAATCGGGACACCTACGATGCTCCATTCATAAAATTGACGGTTTCTACCCCTGCCCCACCCCTCTCCCTTAATCTCCAAATTGGCATAATATTTCTGCCAAATTGGGGATTAAGGGAGGGGGTGGGGGTGTGGGGCAGAGAGAGTTGGGTGGGGTGCAGGGAGGGGGCTGGGGTGGGGGTTTAGGAGTGGGTTATGGGAGGTAGAAACCGTCAATTTTACGAATTGTCTCAATTGAATTGGTGTCGCCACTGGTCAGTAAGGCTGCGTTCTCTTCGGCTGATTTGATCTGATCTGAACCGAATCTTTCAAGGCTGATTTGATCTCAATGAATCTGATATGAATAAATCTGCATATGTGATGGTGCTTGTTAAAAAACAAGTGTTCTAAAATAGCTCCAAATCCATACATTACCTCATTTGACATTTTCTCTAGATGTAATGAACTATTTGTTCCTTCTTCAGGAATATCATCAAAAGGAACTGCAATAGATGTATATCATGTATCCTGTTCCATACCAAAAGCAATAATGAATGGCAAAGTATAATATTATCGGCAAACAACACATACACCAGATTCAAGTTAGTCGGTTTTGTATATCAATATGATTCTACATTCTACTGTCTAGTAATATGTCAAGAACTTATCAGGAGTTCTAAGAACATTGTCCATAACTCATAAGGCCAATTGCAGCTTCAAATGTTTTTTGATCCAGTGTCCAAACCACTGAAAAAAAAATTAGATTTTTCATATCCCAGGTGGAATCAGGCACTATGTATATGAATCATTTAGCTCAAAAGCATCGGTGCAAGTGTACATATATACATACTATGTAGACTAAATAGTTTCTATTGTAAGAACATTGCTTCGTATATATTTCTAGAGCCAAAGAGGGTAAAAAACTCATAGAGCAAGAAATAACATGAAATGAAGAATCCCACCAAAATATCAATCTTGATAAGAAATTGCAATAAAAAGTCCAAAAGGCTTATATTGTTTTAAAGACTTATGCCTAGCAACTAAACCAATAACACATTATGGTAGGTTGTGTGTAATTCATATCATTGAAAGCTTTGCTGCCTTATAGTTCTGTAATATTACTATAAATTATATCTTTATTAAAGATATTTTGAGTAGAAAATTACATTATGCACATATTTGAGTGTATTTGGTTAAACTACATCTCAAAACTTCAACAAAACATATAAACACACACACACACACACACACACATATGATCTTAAACCATAAAAGCACATAAAACCTCAAATCAGGGAAATTAGAGTATCAACTAATCTCAATTATTATACCACTGATCCAATTAGGTTTGCCAAAAAATCTAAGTTTGCTTAGAAGATCAGAAACAAAATTCACAAAAAAAAAAAAAAGATTCAAAACACGCATACAGAATCAAAACTACAAGACTATGTATTGAATGCTTGAATTTTAAACTGGGAAAGACGAAGGGAAGGATTATACACCCAAAGATGATCTTTTGGGCTTGAATGAACTCTTTGCCACCCTACAAAAGAATAGTCAAACCGTCCTACAAAAGTTCCCAAACTCATTCAAAATCAAATTCAAACGTAATAATAAATTATGGATAATTTTGAAAACAAATTTCAGCAATATCCTAGTAAAGTTTTTCATCTCAAAAAATAAGAAAAAAGATATACCTGGGAACTAATTTTGGACCTGCAACTCCTCCTTTGAGATAGCATTTGTAATGAATTTCGCTTCAAATATCATCTGTGTGATGGACTGAATCTGAAACGCATGCTACGCGGGATCACCGACGATGTCCTAAACCTTAGGAGCCGGTCGCTGCCATCGCTGGGGCTTGCCTCCGTCTTGTTCTTCATCCACCGTGATAGATTTACAGCATTGAGCTCAACCAGACATTTTTCCATTTCAGTGGGAAAAGGACGGTATAAACCGGAAGAAACACAAGTATAGTATGTGATCGAATTGTCATTGCAAGAGTAAATTGTGGGCTTGCTTGTCATCATCATCGTCATCATCATCGTCGTCGTCGTCATCTACACATGCAGAGGATAGCTTGAGCTAAATACCACTTTTGATTTTTAACCTACTTGAGTTCAGCAGAGCATACTCTGGGACATTTCTTGTTTGGCCAGTAGAGCATAATTTGAGTGCATCTAGGCTCCATTCTTCATCATTGTTTTCTCCTTGTCACCTCTTCTTCATTTCAAAACTGGATCACCAGTAATCATTACAAGAGCACTTCCCATCAGCAAAATGATGAAACCTGATTGAGTCTCGGAGCACGATTTTCCGTCCCACAATCTGGGATATGTACTTGAAAGCAGAATGACAGTCCCCACAAACACGGAGATTTTTCATTATTCTAATAGGGAGTTCTGATTTTGGGCGCGTGAGAATAAAAGCAATCGCGATCCTCTCGCTATGATAGCTCAGCAGTTCTTCCTTGTTCTCAAGATCAAGATCATACAATGCAAACTTTATCTGCGCCACGTACCCTGCAGCCTTCATCTTTCTGTGCAAGTCCCTGAGGTTTTCATATATTGCATCTGTATCTGGATGTGATCTGTCACCCGCGACAAAAACATGAACACCATCTTTCATGCTCACCCAACTGCACCCTTTTTCTTTCCTGGCTTCTGCTTCCTGCATGGCATGCCGGGCCTCTGCAACGTCTTCCCACTTTCCACCAGAAGCATGCATGTTGGCAAGAAGTACATAGTTCACTGCATTTTGTGGTTCCAATTCCATAAGCATTTGTGCAGCCTTCCTACCTGTTAACATGTATGTAATAGCTCAAAGTAGGGTACAAGAAACCCTAGGTCTAGCACAGCACATTTCAACAACAATAATCCCAACTCCGTGGGGGTCTGGGGGAATGGGATATATATGCAGTCTTACTCCTGCTGCATTTACTGCATAAAACTTCTCTGAAAGCAAGAAGCAATGACAGTTTAATGCTCCATTTTGATTTAGTCCATTATATATGTGTCCAAATCTAAAACATTGTCCATAATGACTCTTTTAGCTCTATTGGCAATGGACTTTAGCACATTACACTAATGGTCAATTGGTCAGTCATTTCGCTATATGTGTACTATAGCATGTTTGATAGGTTCTATTTTTGTCTTATCAGTTTTATGGCCGAATTTTTCCCACCAAACACAACTAGGAGACGCTCCATACTTTTTGTGGTTGAAATTTCTGAAAAAATGAAGTTGATACGTTTTCTTCAATTCATTTATACATTTTAAAAACAATCAATTTTTAGGATTAATTAAGCAGAGTAAACCATTTCAGGCATTCCAACCACAACCTCTGCAATTTTGAGTGTCAACATATTCTAACATTTAGGCCTTATCAAATGGGCTCTTAGTCTTAAGAAAGTATGAAGTTGTAGGTCATACCAAGATCTTTTTTACGACTGCCAACTCGACTGCACGCCCCGAGAACTGTCCTCCAAATGAGGGCATTGGGCCTTATTGGCATTCTTTGGATGAAGCTCTCAATCTTATCTAGCTCACCTGCTCTCCCGAGGAGATCAACCATGCAAGAGAAATGCTCAATCCGTGGGGGCAAATGATAATCACTTTTCATTGATTCAAAATAATCAAATCCTTGATCAACTAATCCTATGTGGCTACAAGCTGACAAGACACCAACAAAAGTGACATGGTCTGGCGGTTGACCTTCCGCCTTCATTTTTTCAAAAACCTCTAGTGCTTCGTGTCCACATCCGTGCCTTGCATAACCGGATATCATAGAATTCCATGAATACACATTTCTTTGTGGCATTAGTTTAAAAAATTTTGAGGCATAATCTATTCGGCCACATTTGGCGTACATGTCAACTAGGGCACTCCCAACAACAACGTCTGATTCCAAACAAGCTCGGACCCCACAAGCGTGGACTTCCATGCCACGCTCCAGTGTTGCCACTGAGGCACACGCACTTAGAACGGTAGAGAGGGTGAAACAGTCTAACCTCTGACCGTTATGCAACATAAGCCAAATCAAATCCATGGCCTTCGATAGGAGCTCGTTGTGTATGTACCCACAAATCATAGAGTTCCAACTCATATCATCTCTCCTGTCAAGCATTCTGGAAAATATTTTTTCACAATCATCCATTTCACCACACTTCCCATAGCAAGTAAGAAATGCATTTTCAATGGATACATCATTGGCCGCACTGTGTTTTAGAGCCAAAGCATGAATTTGACGAGCAAGGCCAATAAGTGAAAGGGACGATATTGCAGAAAGGACATTTATGAAAGTTATTTGGTTAGGATTCCCCCCAGCACGCATCATTTCTATGAAATATTTTATAGATTCGAAAACAGACGCTTCAGAATCATCGAATGTACCGATTATAGAATTCCAAGAAACAATATCATGGTCAGGCATAAAAGAGAATACTTTCTTGCAATCATGGATAAAGCCAACATCAGAATACAGTGCAAGGAGAGCATTAGATACTGACACATCCAAGTCAAGTCCCAATTTAATTGCTTCACAATGTATTTCGCTTCCCATCATGACCCAACCCAGGCTTCCACATGAACTCAAGGCACTTATCAAATTGAAGTTGGAAGGCATCATACCGATACTCTTCATTGTTCTGAAACCACACACTGCATCCTCAAAACACTTACTTCGGTCCAGAGCAGAGATCAAAGAATTCCAAGACGTTAAGTCCTTGTCAACCATGAGATTGAAAACAGAACGAGCCTCTTTAACTGAACCACATTTAGCGTACATATTAATCAGACCATTCCCAACAGAAACCTTGGAATCATACAAGCCAGTTCGGAGAGCATGTGCATGTACCTCTTTACCTTTTTGTTTTCCTTCGGCCAACACAGAGAATTCAGGGAAAGCACTCAAAAGAACAACTAAAGAGAAATAATTAATTTCGACAAGGTCTCTCACCTCAACAAAAACTTTAGCTGCATCTTCTCCTCGCTTTAGGCGAATGAGTCCAACCATCAGGCCGTTCATGGACACTGCATTTCTCACACTCATCTGTTTGAAAAGCTTCAATGCATCATCAAGACAGCCTAGCCTTCCAAAACCACATACCAAAGCACTGCTTACAAACAGATCTTTGGAAAACCCAGATTTTTCAATCCTTCCCAGTACCTGTTCTAGCAAAAGCAAACCACAGTTACCATGAGGTGCAGCAACAATTAAGCTGCTAAAAGTGCCTTCATTCGGTTTACAATTGAATTCCATACCCTCAGTTTGCATGCGGGAGAAAAGCTTGAAAGCATGAGCATAATCTCCTCTTTGAGCATAGAAGGAAATGATAGAATTCCAAGACACTAAATTTTTAGCTTCTATGCCACAAAATACAAGCCAAGCATAGTTACCAGGATCGCCACAGAGCCTGTACATAGAAATTAAGACATTGGAGACAACCACATCAAATGAATAGGGCGTCTTCAAAGCCAAGGCATGAATTTGCATACCCAACCTTAGACCACAAGCTCCTAAAGACTGGCAAGCCCTTAATGCACTACCAAAAGAATAATGGTTAGGAACATATCCCGATCTCACCATCCTTCGAAAACACTCACACGCCTCACCGGGCATGTCATTCTGAGCATACCCTGTGATCAAACTAGACCAGCTAATCAGATTCCAGTCAAGCATCTCATCAAACACGTCACGTGCATCACCCATATCGCCATTTTTCACATACAAATGAATAAGGTAATTGCACAAGAACGTTTCTTGAGCATACCCGGTCTTAACCATTTCCAAATGGAGATGTTTTGCGTCATTTCCAGGGCTCACGAAGCGGTATTTATCAACTAAAAATCCGTACTTGCCCGAAAGTAAAGGCCAAAAAGAAGCATGTGTTCCGGGTGAAGCCGCACTCGTTCCAACCCTATAGGGGGGACTGCTTTGGTTTGCTGTAAGATCGAAGTTATGGCGATCTTGAAACTTAGACGCCAATGTACTGAAACTCGGAGAGGATGATTGGTTATAGAAATGCAATCTTCGGCGTATTAACATGTTGGCGGGGGAGCTGAGTAGCATTTTCAGACCTAGTCTGAGTAGTCTCTCTCATTGGCACCATTTGAAAAGAAGCAAAGGAACTTTCCTTCGGTGCCCATGGTTGGTTACTCCTTCCCAAGTTTAGCCAATTGCATCCCTTTAGCTTTTTCCATTAAATGAGGCTGTTAATGAAAAGGATAATTGTATACCTATCAAACAATCTTCACCAATTATGATGATAAATGACTCATTTCCCTGAATCATTTTCTTTTTTCTGGTATTTGGCTAAAATGTATGAAAACTAACGATTTCTGTTTGGTCCATTTTCAGGAAATGAATGTATTGAAAATGAAAAATATAGTTTTTTTGCCTCGTGTCTTCTTCTCCATCTATCCTAAACATAGTTTTTTTTGCCTGCCAAGAACCCTAGTTTTCTACTCCGTATCTCCTTTCTTTTTTTACTGATTTCCTCTTCTTTTTTTTCTTTTTTGAATGTTTGGTTCATTATATTTTGCACTTATTTTGAGTGTTTTTCTCAATGGGCTTTTTATCGAGGCCCTCTTTCTCTTTCACACGGCCATTTTGTAGCCCAGTAACCAAAAGGCCCTTGTCACTGACCCGTGATAACATGCGAAACCCTAGATCACGGGCTCGCCATAAATTAAACCCCTCTCCACTTCCTACTTCGTCTCTACCACCTCTCGCCGGCCGCCAGTCGCCGCGAAAATCATCGCCTCTGGAGAACTTCACCTCCGTTCTTGAATGAAGTGCAATCTATGCCTGCTCTATTACAGTAGCTAATGAACTATAGTTCTCCAATTCCCGTTTATTTCAACTGGATTCGCCTTCTTACATTGTATCTTCTGATTGAACATTGCACTGTTCATTTTTTTCTTAAAAAAATTGAATTCTGGGGAAGCAGACATTGGAGCTTCTGACTGAACACTGTGGTCTGATTGCTCGTGTCTCTCTTTGTTGTCTCCCCCAAAGATTGAATGATTCAGGATGTAATGCTTGCTCTCCCCCTCTCATGGATTTGCAAGTTTGGCTTTTCTGTTACATATTCTTCTTGTCTTTATCTTGCTCTGTGAAAAAAACTCTTGATTTTGGAAGTTTATTTTTTTGTCTTATGAAAATTGGGAGTAAAGAGTAAAGACACTCAAATGAGTCTACAAGGATGGCAGAGTTTACACACAACAATCATAAGATTTCAAAGAGAATAAAATTGGAAATATAAAAACAGTTCGAAGCTTTGATTCAAAATTTGAATGGTCAGATTGCAGTTCTGTGTGTCCTGGAAACGTTGATTTACTTCCCAAAATTGCCTTAATGAATGTATTATGTGTATATTGATATAATGTATACTTCCTACGTCCCGGAGTATTTGTCCAGTTTTGACTTTTGGAATTGTTCATCTAAACATTTTGATTCATCAAATTCTATCAACGTGTGAGCTTAAATATGGTCATGTGTGATCTTGTTTGATTTGTCTTAACATATAGATTATTAATATATAATTTCTATAATTTTTTAATATATAAATTACTCCACAAGATAAAATGGATTAAAAAAGTGTATTGATTGGTGTGTAAAAATGAAAGTGATAAATACTCTGGGACGGATGTAGAATATATTAGTACATTATTATTTAATTTTAAATGTAAAAATTAAAACATTTTTTTAATTAATATAATTAATAAATTTTTTCCCCTAATATTAAAAGAAGTAAAAATTGTAATTGAAATTATAGGGTACATTTATGAAATTATACAAAGTACTTCCTCCGTCCCACTCTTTTTGTTCACTTTCATTTTTGCACACCATCCAATGCATTTCTTTAATTCATTTTATTTTGTAATTTGTATATTAAAAAATTATAAAAATTATATACTCCCTCCGTCTCCAATAGATCTTCCCAATAGCCCTTTTTTTTGTCCACAATAGATTTTCTCATTTCATTTTTTAAAAATTAAAATACCACAACTATCCCCACTTACTTTATTTATTACACCTCACCTATCTCATTTAATACACTCCATCCATTTTCATTAAGGGTATTATGGTAAACTTTCACCTTTTTTCAACTCTCCTTAAAAACCACCAAAAGTCAAAATGAGAACATCTTAGGGGGACGGAGGGAGTATTCATAATCTATATGTTAAGACAAATCAAACAAGATTACACATAACTATTTTTAGACTTATACATTGAGAGAATTTGATATATGAATATTAAAGTTAAAACTGGACAAAAAGAGTGGGACGGAGGTAGTATGTATTTATACTCCATCCGTCTTATATTTTTCTTCCTGTTGCACAAAACGATGAAAAATTCCAAGTTTTTCAATCTATTTTATTTAAATATTGGTATAGAAATAAAAAATAAAACATATATATTTAAAAACTACATCAAAAGTTCAACAAAACAAGTGATGACAAGAATATTTTATTTTATCATATAGGCCATAAAAAAACAAATAAATATAAATTCCAGTGGAGTTGGAATAGTGCTCTGGGAAGAAAATTTTAGAACGGAGGGAGTACCATTTTTAGACCCCTTTTTTCGTGTATATATATTCGCTCAACCTGCCAATTTATCATCTATTTTTTGAGAAAAATGTCCCCCACCCCCTCCTTGTCCACAATAATTAGCAAGAAATTCAAAAAAAAAAAATAAATAAAAATTAAATAAAAATGTGTGGTGGAGAAGCATGTGAAGGTGTACCCCTAACATTGCTCATTTTTTGAAATTATTATTGCTCTTGCTTTTTCTACAAAAACACATATTTCCTCTGTTCCAAATTATTTGTCACATTTGCTTTTCCAACAGTCGCAGGAACTTTTGTTTATTTCTACGTTTTCATTGATTATTTGATAAAATAAAATATTCTTGACATTTCTTATTTCGATGAATTTTTTATGTAGTTTTTTTGATATGTACTCCCTCCCTTTGAAAATTTTCTTCACATTTGACTTTTTACGGTCTCCAAGATTATACTTTGACCACTAATATCTTTATTTATATATGAATATGTTTTATAAAAATTTGATATTTAAAAACTATATCTCAAAATGAACATATCCATATTAAAGTTATATCATAATATAATGTATTTTTTCTACATATCATAGTTAAAGTTTATAAACTTTGATCAAGAAAAGTCAAATGGTAAGAATATTTCCGGATGAAGTGAGTAATTTTTATTTTTTATTTCTTTACCAATATGTAAATAAAATGAGTTGAAAAAATTTGATGTTTTGCATCGGTAATAGATATGTGACAAATAATTTGGGACGGATGGAGCATAATCAAACATGAGTATGACATGGGTATATGGTTAATGATTGATAAAATAGGTAAGAGTTGAGAACTCGGATTCTAATATAATTTTTTTAATGACCTAAATATTCTCGAGTTTTTAAATAAGATTTGTGATTTCTAAGTACCAAATTACGTGCTAATTTTGAATGTAAGAACTTCTATTTTGTTGTTAAGAAACATTGATCATTTGATTGGTTTATGTAATGGTATCCAAAAAACACGCGAGTGAAGAAATTATTATACAATGACTATTAATAAAAGTTAAGACCAATATATAAGGAAATCATTATCTAGTCATGGCTAATTATGTGTTGTCGCTTCAAAAGTAATACTCTCTCCATCTCTAAATAAACTTCCATTTTTGATTTTTTAAGGATTTAAGGGAGGGATATTTTTGTGTTGACTTTCCAAAAATACCTTCGATGTGATGTGTAAAAATAAGATGTGATAGGTAGATTATTAGGAAAAAGGTATGATGTGATAGGTAGGGTATAAAAAAGTAAGAGGTAAAAAAGATTTTTTAAGGGAAAAAAGAAGTTTATTTGGGGACAAAGAAAAAATGAAAGGTGAAATTTATTTAAGGACGGAGGGAGTAAATTATAATGACTTGATGATTTTAATATAATGACTTGATGTTTCCAAATCAATGTGATACTAGTTAGAACAATGCTAGGGGTACACTTTTCCAAATGTACACAACTTCTTTCTCTACCACCCATTTTTATTTAATTTTTATTTATTTATTTATTTTTGATTTTCTTACCCAATTATGTGGACAAGAAGGAGGTGAGGGACAAATGGGGTACACCAACCTAGCATTTTTCTACTAGTTACCATGAATTTTAGGAGACTAGTATCTTTTGAGGAATTGAGGTAGTGGTACTTGTTAGTTACGTGTTAGACTCATAAGTGCCTTCCTTTTTCGAGGTTAATTAGGCTTGCTTTCGTGTAGGTTGGACCATACATGATACATCCATATTCTTTCTACAAAAGTTATGTCTTAATTTGATTTTTTATGTTTAATTTGCCCACAAATAAATAATGACCTTTGCATCCTAAAATGTTTTTATTATTTTTGTTTACGAGATTTGACCGATTTTATTTTTAATTCAATTTATTTGATTGTAGGTATAATATTAAAAAAATAAAATTTATATATTTAAAAACTATATCAAATGTTTTATAAAATAAGATGTGACAAGCCTATTATTTTATTCCGTATCAAATAACTAACGAAAATAGGTAAAGAAAATAATTAAAGTTTAACCACGTGAATAGTAATTGAGACGAACTTTTAAGAACGAAGGAAGTACCTGAGTAATTTTTAAAAGATAAATACCATATAAATTTGATATATGAATATTAAAGTTGATGTATGAATATTAAAGTTTAAAATGAATTCAACTATAATAAATTTACATTATATTTCATAATTAATACGGAGTAATTTTTTATAGTTTATGGAGAAAGTAACCACAGTTCTCAAAAATCAAATTATGATGATAATTTGAGATGAAATGGTGCAAACAAACAATGATAACAATATATGAGTTTTTTTATTACAGGAATTTAGGGTATAAAGAGTTGAAAATATTGGGATCACTATGGAATGGAAGATATTAAATATCTTTGTGTGTGATCAATGTTCTTCTCATGTGATCACATGTGGGTTTTGTTTTAATAGTTTGTTCCTCCAAAAAGAATGATTTCAATTTATTATTTAAAAATTACAAAAACATTTGTTTTTTAAGGAGTATGTTTTTATCGATTATTTAATAAAATAAAATGCTCTTTCACCTTTTTTAAAAGATTTTTTGACATAATTTTTTAAATATGTGAATTTATTTTTTATTTTTACACTAATCTTTAATAAATAAATTAAAGAGTAAAATTTTGTTTCGGAGGGAGGGAGACTACTTAGTATAACAAATATTTGGAGGGAGGGAGAAATAACACTTTTGGTAAAATGTGCCCACGCACCCTTTTAGAAAGTGGCCGTATGGGTCTGCCTCTTTTATGTTTATAACTTGATTTTTGTTGAATGGGTTTACCAATTGGCTGAAGCGGTAGTTACTTTTATTGGGATGATTCTTTTTATTCTACAATACCTAATTTTCTTTGGTAGATTTTGTTTCTATATTTGATTTCAGAAATTGTTAAAGCCACGGTTTGTCCCTCGGAGAAGACCAAAATAAATGGATTATAACTTTGTTTTCTTTTTGTATATTTTTATTAACTATTTCATAAAATAAAATATTCTTCTCGTATACTATTTTTTAGCATGTTTGATGTACTTTTGAAATGCACCGTATGTAATTTGTTTCTTTTATTTTCATACCGATTTATAAATAAAACAAATTTTAAAATTGTAAAAAAATGTGTTTATGAAATAAAAAGTGTTTACATTATAAAAATACGTGTAATTTTGTGTTTTGGTATCATAAATCTTATTTTTGTATAAAACATTAAATGTTTTATTTTGTGGTGTGAATTATGTTTAATCTTGGTTGGTTATTTTGTTATGTAAATTATTTTTGTTATGTGAATTATGTTTTAATGTTATTTTTGTATAAAATATTAAATATTTTATTTTGCTCATTTTCCAAGTAATGATGGAAATAATATATTTTGGAATTCCAACTAATAATAATAGTAATAATAATACTCCCTCCGTCCCATAAAAAAGTTCTTATTTTGACCATAAATTGGTCAAACAGTTACACACTTTGACCATAAATTAAATATAATCTAAATAAAGAAATGCTAAAAAATTTGAGATATCAAAACTAGATCCTAAGATGAATTCAATTATATTAATTTAATTTTATAATTTAATATATTTTTTTCACAATTTGTAGTCAAAGCGTGTAAATATTTGACTAAATACTATTCAAAATGAGAACTTTTTTATGGGACAGAGGAAGTAGTACTAGTAATTCTGTAAAACAAAAATAATAGCAACAATACTAATATAATAATAGTAATAATAATACTTCGTAGTAGTAGTAGTAATAATAATAATAATAATAATAATAATAATAATAATAATAATAATAATAATAATAAGAATGAAAAATATCGTTAAAACCTCCAACTCCAAACCAAAGTTTCAAACCATATTTCTGCTCAGTCCCCTCTCTGAATTCTTATCCAATTCAGTAATTCACTGTATATTAAAACCCCGCGATTTTTTTTTTAATACGGAGTATATATATTTTCCATCTTCCTAATCTGTTTCAATTAGCTTGGATTTATTATGAATTTTCAATAAATGTAAAACCAGGTCTGGATGTGATGTGATGCCCCCTCCTTCCCATGAAATCAGAAGGTAAATTCATGTAATCTTCATAGGCGTTTACTCTCCCCAAGTTATGTGTTCTTTTTTTTTTTTTTTTTAATTCTAAAGATCAAGTGCTAATTTTACCATTCTTGAAGTCGAGTTTTCTGTTTTTTATATATTTTATGACCTTGCTACAACAAGCTTGAGATTTTGGTTGAGTCGATTACTTGAAATGGTATGGGAGTCTTATTCACGAAGATGTCACGAGTTCGAGACTCAAAATGTTTCTTGGGACCTACAACCACATGCTTGAGCTTTTGGTTGACTAGGTTTCTTGAAATTGAGGCTAAATGTTTAAGGATGTGGTTGGACAGGTAGTGTTTCAATGACAATCATTTCGGAGGGAGAGGACGAATTGCAGGATGAAGATGAGGGAGAGAATGATGGGATTGGGTGTGAAAGAAAGGGTGCAAATGTCATTAATGGTGCGGGCGAGAGGGCGCTTCGACCCCAAGGTGCTCCGCTGGTGCAGCCACAGCCAGAGCAGAGTCACGGTGTAAACATCTATTGGGAAAGATTTCTTCATGTCACTTCCATTAAAGTTTTGCTTGTAGAGAGTGATGACTCCACTAGACATATTGTCACTGCTTTGCTCCGGAATTGCAATTATGAAGGTCACTTTTGTCATTTACAAACTATTGTGATTCTTTCACTGATAATAATGCCGAGATCCCTCAAATGAGTCCTAACTCCTAATCCATCTGATTAATTACCAGTGTCAAATCGTATTATGTGATTGAATCCGATCGTTTTGCTAGTCTAGTCCAAGGCTTCATAAACTCATACTCTATTTTTTAACATTTCTCTGTGGAATACGATCATTTTCCTTGGGTTAGATTAATCGATCGATTGGATTCTGCCTTTTACAAGTGCTTAATCCATGTGTGTATATAGGTGAGTCACTCTAATCCAATTACGGATTCTATCAATAATAATGCACTAAACTTGTTGGTTGAATGTAGTGATTGTAGCGGCCAATGTATTGCAAGCATGGAAGGTTTTAGAAGAGCTGACCAACCATGTTGATCTTGTGCTAGTTGAGTTGGAAATGCCCGATGTGTCGGGCATAGGTCTTCTCTGCAAAATCATGAGCCACAAAACGCGCAAGAATCTTCCCGTTATCAGTGAGCATGGATTTTTTCCCACTTTTGAAATTCTTATGCAACAACGTTTCGTTGTCATGTTTATCATTTGTCAATTTGATTTCATTGACCTCCACAGTTGATGTGGATCGTTTGCAATGATGTCGTCTTGTCATTCTATGAGTTTGGTGGTTAAGTGTTTGTCAAAAGGTGCAGTTGACTTTCTGGTCAAACCTATTAGGAAGAATGAGCTCAAGAACCTATGGCAACATGTCTGGAGGAGATGTCAAAGTGTGAGTCGCGATATCTGCACTCCCCCAACATAAACTTTCTTTGACAACAATCATACGAAAGCTCCTACCAAATCTTATTGTCAAGTGTTAATACTCATATTAAAATACTTTTGTTTCCAATTACAGCCATTTTATATCTCAATATGCTAATCCTTATGCATAGAGATGCTAAAGAGAGATAGTTAAGTTTATAAAGCAATGAGTTAAACTAGCTAAAAGGGTTGGATACAAATTCTAAGTGGTTCAACAAATGAGTTCTATCATAAAAACAAATGGAAAAACTATGGTGGAATAAAATAATATAAACCTCTTTTTTGCTCTTTGAATTACGGAGCATATTTTATTTCTTTCTTTACATTAATTGATGTTTGGAACTCTCAGTCTAGCGGAAGCGGGAGTGAAACTGGGGCACAAACCCAAGACCCTGAATATTCAAAGAGCATTGAGAAATCTGACAAAAGCAATGATGCAGATGACAACATAAGGAATGATTTGATTATTGTTGACACTAATGATGATGACGACGACGACGAGGATGATGATGATGATGATGATGATGACGATGGAAACCCCGAGGTTACAATATTTCATTAAGCACAATTCTTTGTTTGAAATTAATTGAAATGTTTCTTTTAACTAATTAGTTCATTTTCACCTGCTCCTTAAAATAATTGATGTGTATATCTTGTCCTCATATCTTTTTGAAATATTGCATGTTATATACGAACATTCAATCTTGCAGAGCTCTTCAACAAAGAAAGATGTTGAAGTAGACAGTTCCCAGGCGACGTTTCTACAGAATGAAGTACCTAAAGATTTCCAAAAACAATCTAGTACCAAGGTTTTTTCTTCTGAACTACCTTATGTATATCTTCTTCCTCATGTGGTTCTTTTAGACAACAATGAAAATACAAAATCCTTTCTCAGGTATACCTAAAAACATTACTCCCTTTGTCCCAAATTAGAAGTCCACTTAAGAAAGAAAGATTTTGAAAAAATGATTATGACCGGACACACATTAAGAAAGATTTTGAAAAAATGATTATGATGGACATATATTTCTTACCAGAGAAGGAAATGGACTTTTATTTTGGGATGAACCAAAAAGAAAAGTGTGATGTTTACTTTGGGACGGAGGGAGTATAGCACACCATAAACATCCCATTGATGTTCGGGTCAAACATGTGTGTGAAAAGGGTAAGAATGTGGTGGAAACAGATTCCAATTCGGGCAGTAAGAGAATAGAGGAGCAGGTAATTAAACTACTTGTCTACCATATCATTGCTTATTAAGCCATGATTTCTCAATATTAATAACATATCCCATTCCTCAGATCAACAGCAAAAAAATTGAATCTCAAACAGTGGTGTCAGTTTGTAAGAATGCCGCCATGTATGAATCAAGAAAAGTAGCTATTGAGCCAAGTTTGAAGAGGCTGAAAGAATCAAGAGAGGCTTCTCATTATATGTTCTGGCATTCGGAGCAATCGGTCTTCACAAGGTTTGGTAAAAATAAATTTAGTTGATTTTTGGACTTGTAGGCATCCCACATTGATTACAAACACTAACATTAGACTCTAGCTAGTACTATAACCTTTTATATTAAGTTCATTTGAGCCATTTGATCCTTGTAAACCTTAAAAAAAACTATATCTCAAAATTGATCATTGAGACTTTGTAGTGGTGGGCATTTCACTTTTTTCAGGTTAGGCTTAAAAGGGATTGAGGATAAAATGACGTGGTTCGGTTTATTTTCTGTTTGGATTTCAATTTGTTAGATTTTTATCAGGGATTTAGCGTTTCTTTTTTTGTTCAGTTTGGTTCTAACCTGTTTCAGTTAGGCTTGGTTTAGTACAAGAAAACTGTTACCAGACTAAAACCGATTACATGTGGTTAGGTTTGGGTTCATGCTCATTCTGTCATACCCTTATATGAGACATATGTTCCTGTTGTTCTTGGTTGTGTGGCTTTGCAGGTACAATACATCCTCAAAATCAAATCAATTGGATGCCGCTGCACACACTGTCCAAGAAGATAAAACAGATGAAACATTTGCAACCAATGCTTTGCAAGCAAAAGCGCTGCTAGATCCAAGCAATTCTCACCTTCATCACTACAATAACCAAGAACCAGAGCCTGCTATGAACTACGAGCGCACGAGAAAAAGTGTAACTAGAGATGACAATGGCTGTGGCTCTGGAAACAGAATGGACCCAAACAAACTTGCAAAACGACGAGCTGCTTTGACCAAGCTTATTCAAAAAAAAAACAGAAGATTGTTCAATAACAAGGTAGATGATTATGTGAGAGACCAATGAGCTTCGATTTTAGGTCCATGAAAAAACTGCATTTCTTTCAATGTTACTCTGAAAATTTGAACCAGTTTTTCGTGAATGTCAGTATGTCGCTCCAATTTGTACCCCTACTATTTTATGTGTGTGAACAGTGAATTTGAAGCAGCATTAACAAAAAAAATTGAGTGACAATATCATTATCCATTTAAAAAGTTTACAGTTCTAAATGGATAATTTTGCCACTGCTTACTTTTTTTATTTGCAAATAAAATAACTATATCCAATTTTCCCAACTTTTTTTTACCTAGTTTTACTATTATGATTCCCTCTTGAAGCCCGTGGAAAAACAAAGAAACTTATAATAAAAGACCGTGAAACAATGAAACAATTAATAAAAGCCAAGGGAAAACATAAGTGTACAGCAGAAAAACGAAAAAATGTACGCTAAATGTTAGTTCGTCTGTCATTTTCCGGTTAAACAGATTTAATATCACTTATTGGCATTCATTTAGAATTCAAAAGAACCAGTTTTGAATCAATGGTGAGATGAACTTTCAATCAATAGCACACAACTGATAAGTAATTTCACCAATACTAACAGCAACAATTTCGCCCCATTAAAATTAAAAGCCATTTTTTAAAAAAAAAAAAATTAAACACAGAAATTGAATTTCTTCATTTCAACAAAAAAAATCGAAAGGTCTCCTTAAACATTACATACAACCACCTTTCATTCGAAAGGAGTGTTTCCTCTCGTGTTCATTTCAAGTTTCAACGTCTGTTCAGCGTATATCAACGCACAAGGTTTAAATAGGAGTAAATTGTCTAATAAAAACTTTGTAGTAGTCTACTGTACAGAGCACCGGATATAAACAAAAAGGGAGAAACTTTAGGTGGTGGGATGGGGAGGAGATCCCCAAGAAGAAGATGGATGCACATGTCAATCTTTAGAAGTGGCTTTTCCATTGTCGTCTTGATGCCCATTGGTCTGAAGTTGAGAACTGTTTGTGTCTTGTCCTCCAGCAGCACTACTTTTATTTGTCGTTGGTGATGGAAGATCACAGCTTTGCTTTCCCTGTCATTGTGTTTATTTTGACATACTCATTTCAATATATAAGCAACCTACTAACCAAGGCATGTGATTCATCATCTTTGTGCCTGCTTTTTGAAATGATTAATGCTGTTTAAGGCAGTAGGAATTGGAAGATGTTTTAGGGTGTTTTGCAAACTTATGAAGTTACTGAAACCCTAATACTAATCCCGAAGCAACTCCTACCGTGATTACAAAAACTAACTGTAATTGTCATTCTGTGGTTTGCTATTTTGCTTCAGAACTAGATCACAAAAGATTTGGAAACTCCGCCTGACACCAGTAACCAGTTCATGTCCCGTCCAATCCCTCTGAATCTCAGATCAGATGGCCAAGATATTCTACATTTTATGCTCCCGGTCCCATGATAAAAATTATAGTTTGACTTTACGTAGTCTAAGAAAAGTCTTGAGAGGTAAGAAGTGTGTGGCTATAATTTGGCCAGGATAAAGAGAAACGGTGTGAGCCACACATTTCCTTCCTCAAAAGGAAATGAGGATAGTGTGCAGTTTATTATTTTGGGACAGACGGAAAAAGAAGGTGAAGTTTATTTTAAGACAGAATTTCTGAGCCCTTATTGTTGCCCGATCCCACCCTCAACTAAGGGCTGTTCGCTCTAAAATTAGAAATAGACGGCTGTGATAGATAATCAGTTTGCCTGTCTTTGAGAACAAGTGGAGACCCAATATCCCATCATAACAGTGCAGTAGATCTGTCAAATGTTCAAAGCCTGAAACACATCCATTTCACACTGATTGCTTCTCCTCAAAGCATAAAGTCATAAACATTGATTTTGATTGACATACCTTGTTTCTATCTCGCCAGCCAAGGCCAAATGACAGCAAACCAATCTTTCTCCCAGGTGCATTCCTTGGGGATTCAGCTTTCGAACTAAAAGCATGTGAACGTCAAAAGGCATCATCATCTTATGAAGCTCAATTACCAAATTAAAAAACATATTCCGAAATAAGCATCTATGAGTTCCAGGTTTGTCGGTTTGTCCATTTATTTCAATAGAGTCAAGAATCACACCCCCCCTTTAGGGATCGATATATGAGAAATTACTAGTTTACATAATCAAGGAAGCAAACAAATGAACAGAGCAGAATAAAACGGGAGATCGATGTATGAAATATGTGTTCATAACCCACATAGCACACACCTTGGGGAAGCTGAAGCTTTGACTTGGCCAGATTCATATTGTACAGTTGCTTCTAGCATCGATTCTGCCATCACTGCTCTCTTCTCCATCTGTGCAAGTGATGCTATTGCTTTTTCATACTTTTCCTGCATACAATTAGTAATGGGCATGGTCAAGACATGCTAAATAAACAGAAATCACTGTGCAATATACTACAAAAAAATAATGCTCGACCGAAGTAGAGTTATTAAATTTTGATATAAGGTACAAACATGACTCTGGTTTTTTGGGAGGCAGTAGGGAGTATATCCAACAGGCAAAAGCAGAGCTCAAGGTATAAGAAGCACAGTAACGAGAAACAAACAGAGCAGATGAGAAAAGAAGAGAGAAAAGCTTACTAGCAACAACAACAACAACAACCCAGTTAAATCCCACAAGAGTAGGGTCTGGGGAGGGTGTGTGTACGTAGACCTTACCCCTACTCGAAAGTAGAGAGGCTGTTTCCAAAGAGACCCCCGGCTCAACGTCGAAAGTTGCATTGCTTGACTAACTGCTACTTCATTAATTAAAGAAGCGCAGACAGTTTAAAGATCCATTTTGATTTATTCCATCACACCCCAAAGCCAAAAAAGCTTACTAGCACATATTTCAAACAAAAAGGAAGGAACCTGAAGAATGTATGCTGCATATTTTTGAGCAGCTGCATCTTGCTCTGCAGCAATTCGAGCTTCTTCAGTGATCTTTTGCTCTTGTTCAACCCGCATCAGCACCTAAAAAGCAATGCATGCAAGTATGAGTTGGTAATGCACAAAACACATAACAATAGCAAGATATGGAAGACACAGAAGTGGCTATACCTGAACCATTGCTGCCTCTTGTTCTCTCTTATCTGCAAGGATTTGGTGCAGTTCAGCCAACTGTTGCTCCAGTTGCTCAACCTGAGTGCAGATTACTATCGAATCATATTGATCAAAATTCATTGGCATACTAGCAAAGAGTGTATATGTTTCCTACCTCTAGATAGAAAATAAATGATTCCTTATGTATATTAATTGTGCAAGTACCATCCATTACCCTTTGTGACAGTACCATCATAAGTCTGTGTACTGGGTTTTGTCACTAGTATGTGTAAAGATTGGAAGTAGTCTAAGAAGAAGTTTTTNAGTATATAACCGTCTATCTTGTTCAACTTTAAATTCAATCACTTCATTTATTTCTCATATGCAAGATGTGTGTGTGTGACTGTGTGTGTGTGTTTTGCAGCCAAAAACAGCATGTAAAACTCCATACTACTAACAAATATCTTGGATACCCGTGCACTCAGTTCTCGCCGATTATCTTCCTTGACCAATTCCATGAGGGCAGTTTCCAATTCTTCAGCTCTAGAAACGAATGACATGTGGCATAAAAGGTTAGCACCATCATTTTCTGAGGGTTTTTCCAAAGCTTAAAAACAATGATGATAAGAAATTAAGCAAAAACATGCAATCACTGCAGAAATGTTTCTGGTTTAAATTGCTGCCAATGCCAAGTGAAAACAATTAATAGTAATGTCATAACCAGTAAACCACAGCAGCACAAATTCTGGTCATGTTAGAGAACGCAAGAAACATTGATAATGCAAGTTTACTGAGTTCAAACTTATGACTTATCCAAGACTAAAAGGCTAAAGAATTCATTATCTTAGAACAAAATTTTGCATACCATCAAGAGAACAACCTAGTGTCATCCCACATGTTGGGGTGCATGCAGACCTTACCTTACACTTGGGGGCGGAGAGGTTATTCTTGAAATGCTCTCGGCTAGATAATGGTCTGTTGAAAATGGAATTCGAACCCTTGACATCTAGAATATACAAATTTCGTTTCAACCACCTAGGTAAAATAGTGCTTGTTTTTTGTGTAGCTGTTGGAAGAATGAAATAAGAAAGCTAATCCTTTCCTTTTTCTATTGAAAACCTAGAAAACTGGCAATTCATCCAACACTAAAATATGATACAAAATATGCTGCTAAAGAGTTTAATATTATGAAAATGAAGGTAACTCAAATATGTATGTTACAATGGATGTGTGAGTATACGAGAATGGATATGATAGAATAAGAAATGGGGTTATCCAAAAGAAGGCAGAAAAGACATCTATAGAGAATAAGTTGAAAGTGACTCAATTGTGGTGGTTTTGACAAGTACAAAGAAACCTAGTAATGCACCACTAAGAATTTTTTTATAGAACCACTTTAATGGGTGGTGAAATTATTTTTGCGAAAAAAAGAGAGGAAGAGAGAGCCCCAAAAAATGCAGTAATAAGTCATTAGGAGTTATGTATCTTATCTAAACTTGGACAAGAGTGTGGGCATGGACAGAAAGAAATGGTGAAAGAGGTCAAAGCATTTTTGTGAATGACCAAATATGGTGTCCTCTTGGTTCATGTAGTTGACCCCAAGTTACTTGGAAGAAGACTTTTCGTTGTTGTTGATGTTGTTGTTGTTGTTGTTGTTGTTGTATCCAGACTATAAAAGCACCTGCAACCCCCAGATCCCACTTGTGATATTTTACTTGGTAGGTAAGGTAGGTTGTTGTTCATGTTGTTGTATGGAATAGAAGCACCAACAAATAAAATAACAGAGAACGTCAAACAACAGAGTTAAAAGCTAACCTGAGTACAGCTGCTCTCTTCTCTTCCAGTAAGTTACATAGCTCAACCTTCAGCCATACCACCTGCACAGGAGCATGCAGAGAAAACAGAGAGATTCACCAATTCAACAAACCAAATGCTGTTAGTGTTTCAAAATAGTGCTTTGTTTATGCCAGATGTGTCCAACTAACTTAAGAAACTAGAACATGCTAAGATAACCATACAAGTCACCTGTTCTTGAAGATCTGGAACAGAATCTGCTTCCAGATCTGTGGGCACACTGTTCAGAAAATCTTCCAGATATGTAGAGCTAGTCCTAGAATGTGATTCATCACTGTCTACAATCCTATCAACTGAACCTTCCTCTGTTTTTACTTGTTTCATTCTCAATTGAGAATCATGCTTGAAACTACAGAGCTTAGTCACAATACTTTTTGGATCTTTTAGAACTTGACCACCTTTTGATCTTTCTTCTAATGTAGAAATTACAGATGGTCTATGCTTCTTTCTTAAATCTTGCAATCTATCTTCAGTTACATTTGAAAACCCCATACATGCAGTCAACACAAGTTGACTGCTATCAAAAGTGGAACCAGCTAGGGATTGTAATAAAGTGATGGCATCTCCAGCATCATTGGTTGTCACTATAGCAGGACCTGTTGTTATTTGAGAATCATAACATCCTCTCATTGAAAGTGTTATAATAACAGGAAGCAAGCAATTACAGCACAAGTGCTTAGTCTATACCATATAATTCCATCAAAGCAAGTGCAGTTCGAAATAGCATGACACGACTCCCTTCAAACAAAAGTACGTCCCAAACTCGTAGAACTGAAGACGAACAATGAAAAAGAATGAATAGCTTGCCATGCTATTTACAAAAATCGAATTAAAGTTCCCTTATTGCACAGTATCACTCACCACTTTCCCATGGAAGCATATTTACAAAAATTGAAAGAAACCAAGGTGCAGATATCCATGTAACCTGCACTCCCAAGTAATCTAGATGATTCACTGCAGCAAATTAATTTATTAAGAACCTAGTAATCACCTATATAGCAAGAATCAAGCGTTCATCTATAAAACAATGTACGGACCCAGTTTAGGAAACCTTTGACGCATCAACTCTTCATAAACAAGTTGGTCAACCTGAAAATGGAAGAAATTGCCGATGTAACCAGTGCAAGTTGTAGAGCCAGAATGAGTAAAAATGGTAAGCAAACCTGAGACTCGATCATTTCTTGTGAGAAACATCCATCAAAATAGTCATCCATAATGCCCACCAAGGCCCTGAAAGATTTAACAATGGTTAAATGGAACACCTGTAAAACATGATAATCAAGGTTACCATCAATGATCCAACCTAGAGGGTCTGTTTGGAACCCGGAAAATGCTAGGAAAAGAAAACAAAGGTGAAAATATATCAGAAATTTGGAAAGGACGTAAGAAATAAAGTTTGGGAAAAAGTAACAACTTGATTCAAACTCAATTTATGAATTTTAGATACTTGTTTGGATTCATTCTAAAATATGAAGACTAAAATATCTAACTGCATGTAAAACTATAAAAAGTTTTGACCAATATTGGTTTTCCTCTACATTTTCCTAAATCATTTTTCCTTTTACCTACCATTTTAGGTGTTCCAAACATGTTCCAAACATAGCTGGAGCATATCAATATAGGAGTCTGGTGCAGTTTTAGCAAGAATCAAAATGAGGACGATGTTGAAGTTCAACATTGGGGACCAAAGGATACTGCGAAAAGACGATTTTCAAGTATTTGAACTCTATCATACAAAAGGAAGGAAAGATGGAAAACGCCATCACACACCATATTTAGGTAGGGTGGTTAAAGTGAAGGGTTGTCCCGTGAGTGCTTCCCAAAAAGGTCCCATTGAAATTAAATAGCTAATTCTACAGGGTTGCCATTGAAATTAAATAGCTGATTTTAGTAAATATTTCCCCTCGTGCCATGTGTAATGATTTTTGTTTTGCCATTCAATTCGTGTGCATGATGTATCACAAACCATAGAGAATTGTTGTAAAAATATTTGATTATTGTGCTTTCAAGAAAAGATGCTTCACTCTATATAAATATAATACTCTATCCATGCTGTACCAAATAAGATTGTAATTATGCCCAGATTCAAAATAATTTTCTCTCTTTATAAATATAACACCATATTTGGGTAAATTTCATCAATGATACACAAACTTTCATCATTATTTCACCTCGGTACATAAACTTTAATTCCTATCGCAAAAATACACCAACTTACAATATTCTCTCACCAATGGTCCATTAGCCGGATTCCAAGTGACCTATAGCTCACTTTGGACCAAATTACAATACAATTTATGCATTTCTAATTTTTCAATTTAACCACCCTTTCCTTATCTTCTTCTCACTCGACCCCCTCGCTTTACTCTTTCTTGGATTTGTTTCATTTTTTGCAGATTTCCCCGGGCGGAATCTGCTCTGAGGCTGGAGTTCTCCCGGGAATTTCCCAATTCCGAACTCTCGGACTTGTATTTCTTGATTGGCTGATTGCTGGAACCCATCCGGAAAAACTAGAAACCATCAGAGCAAAAATCGGATCCGGAAAAAAGTGCTGCAAGATTTCAGGGTGAACGAGGAAAGCGCCACCTGTGATCTGATGATCCGCTATCATTCCCACCAATGAGGGATTCATCTTATGAGAGGAATGATAACCAGAGGTGCGAGCGCAGCCAGCCAGAAAATCTCGCTGGAGGAGTGTCGTAGCTTCCCAGCCTGCCAATCAGTTTTTCGAACACAAACGCCTGATTTCTAACCAAACTGTTGGCTCCTCCTCCTCCGTTGCACACCGCCTGGAGACGAGACCATTGAGCTCAATGCCAACTGGAAGGGGTCATTTGGATCCACCAGATTTTCCCATCCGGAACTGAACATATCACTTCCCTGAATTCTTATTCTTTTTGGCAATGCAATTTCATCATTGGGAAAGATGGTTTGCTCTTCCATGATTGGAAATTGAAGTTCTTGAATGGTTGGTAGTCAAAGAAATCAAGTATTAACTAAAGAAGACAAAGAAAGTTCAATTGTTTGGCAAGTGCACAGTGTATGGAGTTTGACCTTTTATTTTCATTTTTATTTTTAAATTACAGTGATTGGGGGTGCTAAAGAAGAAGAAAGGGAGGGAGTCTGCTGAGAAGAAGAAAAGGAAGATAGGGTCGAATTCAAACATTAGAAATGTATATATTGCAATTTGGTCCAAAGTGGCCTATACGTCACTTGAAAGCGGCTAATGGACCGTTGGTGAAAGAATGTAGAAAGTTGGTGCATTTTTGCGATAAGAATTAAAGTTTATGCAACAAAGTGAAATAAAGTTGAAAGTTGTGTAACATTAGTGAACTTTACCCCACCATAGTCCATATTCATGCTAAACAAAACTTTAGCATTGAGCACATCACTTAAAAGCTTACCAAAAGGCATTTTCCTCTGGCATCATGAGTAGCAACAAACCGGCAAAAAAATTCATTGCCTGCAAGTGGTATGCTTCACAATTATGCTAAAAATTAACAAATGTGCCTTTCATTTATTTACTAAAAAATCAACAGTTGCACCAATTACTGAAACTCCTATGGAAATGAAAGGAATTCAGATGAGGTTTGATTTGAGATACAGCTAAAACTAAGCTAAAAATTACCTGGCAATACCCAACTGATGGGTTGTGTCGGGCATACGCCAGAAGTAAGCGCCTTAAGGAATTTCGTCCATTCTCATTCAATGCAGGATGTCCGGGAAAAGTCCGAGGCAGATCCTACATTAGTGAAAGAAAAGGGTAAAAGATCAGGCAATGAAAACTTGTGTTATGTATATGAGAGACTTGCAAGGCTGCGAGACATGTAAGAACATCTGCATGTATATCCAAATGAAGGAACAAAAAACTTGTTGATCTAGAATATAGGGTATGCAAAAAAAAAAAGATGAGCACAACACACTACAAAGTACAAACACATGATGCCAGTAATGAAACAGAAGGGTCCCTTGACCACTTGACAGTGAGTGTGTAAAAACTAGCAGGATAATGCAAATTGCAAAACAATGAGTAGCATTCTTTAATGACCACCCTGGATCCTAAAAAGAAGTATCACCTACAAATTAAAAAGATTGTACGATAAATTCCAGGGCCCATGCATCTAATGACCTTCTCAATCTGCTTCCTCCATTTTTCTGACACATCAGCCATCCCTCTATTGGATCCCTTGCTATTGTTGTCTACCAATGGTGTGTCATTCTTCGGGCAAGGACCAACATCATTTTCAGAGATGGTCAAGTCCTGGTAATATCTCTCAACCCGGCGTGCCTTGACACCCACGAAAGCTTGCCAAACCTGAATTGTTTAATACCATCTTAATGTTAGAGATAAATTTTATAAAAACCCTTATAGCTGGTAGACTTGTCACAAAAGCACCTCTCCCCGGAGATCTCTTGGTACTCCTCCATGAACAAGTTGCTCAAGTTCATCCTTCCAAGGCACAGAAGGTTCTACATGACCTCTATCACCTGCAGTACATCCTTCAGCAGCTGTCCTTGAACTGTCATCCAATATCACATTGTTGCTTTCATCATCATTGTCCTCAGATTCTTCCCTCAGAGGTTTTGACTCCCCAATTGGCAGAAGTTGATCATGAGAAGATGCTAACTTCTCATCTCTCACATAGTTTTTGTTCTTCACACGAAATGCCATCATAGTTTCAATAGCTGACAGAGATGATCTAATGTCAGTCCATGTCTTTACCTCCCTGGGTTTTGATTGTATGACAGTTGGCGCCTCTTTCTCAAGAAGATTTTTTGTATGAATGTCAGGAAGTGGCTTCTCTCTATATAAATCACCAGTCTCTCCGACCACATCATCGCAGGCACTTATATGGTTTCTTGTTTCAGAATCCTCTGCCTTGCAGACCTCTGGGCTATGATGTTGTTGAACAGATAATTCTTGGCTGTCAAGAAAACTCTTCCACTTGTGTGACCTTTCTGCTTCCTCTTCCTAACACAAGTATGTGAAATTAATTTAGGCACTAAAGCATGCATGGTGAAAGCATGATGTGATTGTGAACAAACTGCATAACTTGTTTGATATTTTCCTTGGTTATGAGAATAAAGAAATGAATACAATTGTGAAAAATTTTCATCAAATACAATATCATACTCATTGATGCCTTCTCCCAATTCAATATCAAATGCCATAATCCTTTTGATCTGCTGATGGTATTTGTTGTGTGTGCAATAAACAATTGCCCGTACCTTATAGATATTGGCATACTCTCTGTATCTCTGAAGGTGTTGAGGCCTCACAGTAAACCCATATGTATCCCTATCAACAATGTACCAAGCACTTGAGATAAATTGGTTGCTATATTTACAGATTACAACATATCTACATGTTAATGATTCCAGCTAAACAAAAAAAAAAAGTTTCTATTAGATTGGTTGGATGGCATTGTCCGGTGACAAATCAGACACGCACTTAAAAAAATAAATTGAAGAAATTCCATAATTCACCGATATGATTATACCTGGAATCAACCTCCAATGACCGTTTACTCAGTAAGGACAACAACATACTTCATCAAAATTCTAATTTTACAGCCCATATCGCTATCCTCCCCTCAAACGAATCCCATGTCATTATATCACATTCCTAATCTCACATTAACCTTCATTTTCTCCCTGATTTCCTACTGTAATAATTCTATAATCTTAATCCACAAACTGAAAAAATGCAATCTTGCTCGAATTCACACATCAAACAGATACTTCTTTTAAAAAAATCATGCTAATAATTGCTATCAACAGATTGATTATTCGTTAACACAATGTGTATGGATAGATCGCCGTTCCTCATCACTCATTCTAAACTGAGTTAACTCGTTCTTTTTTTCCTTTTTTTTGGATTGCGAGAGATTTCGCCATTTTTTCTCCAAAATCAAAGGCGAGCTTCATCTGTATCCAACTTCCCGCCGAATTCGGCCTCGCGGACACCTGTACATCTACATTTTATGTGCATACAAATATGTACAGTCTGTGATTCAGTTCATTACCTTTTGGGCTCAAATCTGAAGAATTGATTGGGATTTTTTAGCGCCATTTGAGGTAGTGGCCCTGAAAAAGTCGGGAATAATCGGCCGGCTACTTCGTGTTCCTCTCCACAACTGGATATTTTTCGGACTGACTGAAAATTCTGCAGTCACGTGTCATGGCGCAATCGAAAATTAATGATAGTACCTATAATGTCTCAATTCCAACATTTGCCCGTCTTCCAAAATTATTTTATTTATAAATTAATACGGAATATTATTTTATATGCGTTAGATCTTTTCATTTGATTTTTCACATTTTTTAATATAATTGTAATTATCAATATCTTTACTTATTGATTGATATACTAATCTATTAACATTATTTGAATATCGTGCAAAATTTTATCTTTTTAAAAATAATTTTATATATAAATTGATATGTAAATAAAAATTATAATTTACGTACTTAAAACAACATCAAAAATTTTACAAAATAAAATACGATAAGAATATTTTATTTTTTCAAATGACCAATGAAAACACGCAAGTAAACAAAACTTATCGAAAAATTCAAATAGTAAAAGTGTAAATTATTTTTTAGATTGAGGGATTATATTAAAAATGTAATATTTCTGATGGAGGGGCAGCCCGATATCATCAAGATTCAACACGAACTTGTAATGGACCTGCATTTAACCCCACCATCCACATCATCAGTGGACGCTCTGTCGCAGGACAGCTGGTCAGCTGAGCTCGCGTGGTCGGCTCACTTAGGACAGAGCCTGTGCGCTCGGTCTTCTATGACAGAGTAGGCGAGCTCAAATCGTGCAAGCCTGAGCAAGAGAAGAGGTCGACCAGGGAACCCCCCC